GGTTATAAACCTAGAAGTAACTTGGTGAAGGATGAGAATGGTGATCTGCTTGCAGATTCTCACATTTTTAATAGGGAAGGACCACTTCTCTCAGTTATTGAATGTACAAAGGGTCAGTGATGTTAGACAGACAGAAATCCATACAGCTGTGCCGTTAGTAACTGATCATAGACTTCTGATGTTGAAATTGTTACTCCAAATTTGAAAAGTTAAAATTCGTCAGGTAGCGATAAAATTCCACAGAACTGTTTCAAGCAGGAGGTAAAATATTACGGTCAGAGATCCATAAGCTCATTAATTCTATTTGCAATAGAAAAGAATTGGCTGACTAGTGGAAGGAGTCTATTTTTGTACCAGTTCAGAAGAAGGGCGATAAAATTGACTGTAGTAATTATCGTGGGATATCGTTGTTATCAACTTCATTCAAAATTTTATTCAATACTCTTGTCTCAATTAAGTTCATATAGAGATGAAATTATTGGGGATCATCAGTGTGGGTTTCGACGTAACAGATCAGCTACAGATCAGATATTTTGCATTCGTCAGATACTGGAGAAAAAATGGGAGTACAATGAGACAGTACATCAGCTATTCGTAGACTTCAAGAAAGCTTTCTGATAAATTTCCTATCCAGAATGGTCTATGAGAAGGAGATGCTTTATCTCCACTCCTTTTCAACTTTGCTTTAGAATATGCCATTAGGAAGGTCCAACAAAACTAGATGGGACTGAAATTAAACAGGACACATCAGCTGTTGGTCTGTGTTGGTGATGTGAATCTACTGGGTGATAATATAGATACCATAAAGAAAAACACACAAATTTTAATTGACGCAAGTAAAGAGTTTGGTCTAGGAGTAAACACTGAGAAAACTAGGTATATGTTGCTGTCTCTTCACCACAATCCCGGGAAAAATCAATACATAACGACAGGAAACAGATGTTTTGAAAATATGGCACAGTTCAAGTATTATGGAACGACAGTAGCAGATAAAAATTTAATTCAGGAGTAAATTGAAAAGTGACTGAATTCGGGCAATTCAATCCGGAACCTTTTGTCTTCTCGCCTGCTGCCTAAAAATTCATGATATACAGAACTATAATTTTGCCTGTGGTTGTGTATGGGTGTAAAACTTGGTCCCTGACATTAAGGGAGGAACTTAGACTGAGAGTGTTTGAGACCAAGATAGCGAGAAGAATATCTGGACAGAAGAGGACGAAATGACGGGAGGATAGAAAAAGTTGCATAATGATGAGCTTCATTACTTGTACTCTTCTCCAAGTATAATTAGAATGGTGATATCAAGAAGGATGAGATGGGCAGGGCATGTAGCACGAATAGAGGACAACAGGAATACGTATAGGATATTTGTGTTAAAGTCAGAAGGAAAGAGCCCACTAGGAAGACCAAGACGTAGGTAAGTGGATAGTAATAAAATGGATCTTAGTGAGATATAATACCGTGGAATGGACTGGATTGATCTGGCTCAGGTTATGAACCAGTAGAGGGCTCCTATGAATACAGTGACGAACCTGCAGGTTCTATGGAATGTTGGGAAATTCTTGAGTAGCTCCAAAACTGGCAGCTTCTCAAGAAATGCTCAGCTACATAAAGTTAATTATTTCACATTCAAACCACGGGGTCTTGAACGGTGGAGTTGTGGATAGCTCCACATATTCGTACACTAGGTAGACAACTGGATGAAGCTTAGCAGTCATTTTCACGGAGTAGATACAAACTCACATTCTCACAACATTTATTTTTCTCGGATCTGCGTTGTACCTTCTAATAACGAGCCTCTTTCACCCTAATTCTCCAAGAATTTCATACATGTTTTTATTTCTTCATGCATGCCAAATACTGAACATATATCTTAGTATATTTAGTTAAACTTTAGTACAAATATTAGTTGAAGAAGAGAAACATAACTGCGTACATTAAGCTCGCTTCTCCATTTCTCTTTTTACAGAGTTATCGACTTTGCATAGAAGGCATGAAAGCAATGCAAAGTGGGGAGTTCGTGACCAGCACCCCGCTTGTTGCATCTAATTGCGAATTAAATTTTGTACTGTGAATCTGCTTTGAATTTTGTCTGGTGAGTTTTACTTTGGTTCTTATTTACCCAATATGATCTCTAATTTACCCGGCGCCAAAGTTGCATTTATCGAAGATCTCTAAAGAAGGAATTTTATTGTCTAAAGATTTAGTATTTACCATAAAGTATTTAGCTTATTATAATCTACAACTTATATATTAGACTTTTTCAAATATAGAAAAATTTAATATTGATAAAAATACAGAGTAATTCTAAATTATTGTCGGGGTTTTCGTAGCTTATAATTTTCAAACCGGGAAGATGAAAATAAAACTGCTTACAGAATATGAAAATGTAATTCAAAAGTTTCATTAATGGAATAAAATATACAGAATTCTAAAAATTTCATACGCAGTCTTACATTTTTTTTCTTGTTTGAAAATTATAGGCCACAGAAACCCCGACAATAATTTAGAATCATATCGTATGTTCTGGCGTTTATCAGCGTAATAACGTATCTGTAGGCTGTTGTTATTTATTAAACTGTAAATTAATATCCCCAATAAGTGAGCATAAAAGTCAATGAAGTGTGCAATATTACAAAGAAAGCATATGAAAATAATCTTACTCTGAACTGGAGTACATTTTAGGGTTTGAAAACTATATGACACTTTTGCTCGAATGAGTTTCTGCTGAGCTGTTTCCACCGGTTCTGCAGCGCTGGGCAAAATAATAACACTAATATTAATTGATGCTCCGTCATATTATGATCTTAAACTTTGCCATGGCTACGGCCTGCCGCGAGATTTCATATTACACTTCAGCTAGGTGTGTGCCTGTGTACGTTCTGGCACCATAAAGTTTCTCAACTGCAGGGCTCGGGTTATTTATGAGCTTTTATAATTGGTCATTTAACGATGATTTATGGCAGGAAGTTCGTTAGTGTGACGTCTGATTGTGATTAGTCTTAGAAGGAAGTTTTCTTTCTCCCTAATTTAAGCTAATTAGTTCTCTGCTTGGTCTCAGACTCCGCCCGGTACTTATAATTAATAGGGTTCAGTAATAAAAAACTTAGGCCTACTATGGGGCTGTATTTAGGTCTGGATCTGTAGTCTAGTGGCCAGAGTGCCTGCCTACAGATCCAGAGGTCCCGGGTTCCATTCCCTGAGCTACCAGATTTTCTGAGATATAGTGGGTCTGGAACGGGGTCCACTCAGTCCTGTGAGGATAACTGAGGAGCTATTTCAAGCATATAGTGACTCCGGTCCAGAAAACCGAGATTAACGACTTGGGGATTCGTTGCACTGACCACGCGACACTCTGTATCCGAAGAAATTGTCATTAACTTCGCCGACAAGCGGCTGTAGCTCGGTCGGTATACTTCACTTGCTAACTACAGGCCACGGAGTTTGTTTTTTTGTATAGGTTCAAGCTTCTCTTCCGATAAAATATCTGGGACGATGTGAAAAATTTTTCGGCATAATTTTCCTGCAACAAGAATTTGCACCATGAACACGACCTTGCCCTCTTGTGCGGCTCTAAAAGTAGAAATGCGTTTTGAAGCCCCGCTCGGAGCAGGAGTGATTCTCTATTTTTTTTGTGTGAAGTGTTTGTTTTCTGACGTAAAACCGATGGGATGGTCCGACCCCCGTCCAAGTTGTTTCATTGAACGTCTGACGTATTCATTTGTTTCAGAATTAAATCTTAGTCGGACCAGACCATTCATAAGAGCTCAAGATAATAGGAATGATTCTGTGATGAAAGGACATTTTTAATTTAGTTTTATATAATAGCATACAGATGGGTATAATAGTCATTTGGGTAGAAGGAAATGCCTACTAACTTCAGAAATCTTGTTTCGATTCCCTGAAGGGTCAAGAGGTCCTCTTCTTCTCCTTAGCTCTAGGCCAGCTCTGGAGCCCACATAATGGGTGGTGAGGAATTTTTCTCGAGGGCTTAGGAGCCTGGGAGTGACTGACTTTCATCCAGTAACGAGGTGTGAAATTCTTGGAGCTATACCTCCATATTCCCATATGATATTATGTCTTGTGCTTAATTAAGTACAGGGAATATCCTACCTTTATTCCTTAATAATAGCTAAATAGCTATCACATATTTAAATTACAGCGTTTAGCGACTTCCCTGGTACTCATTTCTGTTAGAGGCTGAGTCGATCCCAGGGCCATAGTGCGGCTGGAAGGACTAATTGAGTTGATGAATCCAATGACCTCATCCGGATTCGAAGCTGCGACCTTCCGCCTTGTAGTATAGTATCTCAATCAACTGCGCTAACGCGTGCCTCATATATCTCGCTTCCTTTCGATATTATAAATTATCTGGAGATGAAACGATGTAATTTTATACGTAAATAACGTAACAATCTACAGATACCGCTCTGTTACATTACAATCTTGTAATTCGCGACAAAACTTATCCAGAATGAAGAAATTGTACTTATATTCTGAAGGTTTCATAGAAGTGGATTACTGAACTAACATCGGGACAAAGTATAGTGTCTGGTAGAAATTTAGTGAAGTTTCGGAAGAGTTTTGTGTCTCCGTCTTCAGGGTAGAAACGTAAGCCGAGCAAATACGTAGACAATGATCAGAAAGCAATAAAATTACTGGGTTTTCTATTCGATTCTGAACCTGCAGGCAGTACGCTTCTCCGGTAAACATCTACCAGACTAAATGGCTTCACATTCCAGGAGGTAGCGCATTTCGTATTCATCGATACGAACACATCAGATCCCTGCTTCAGGTTTGGCTGTTTATCTATGATCTTTTGTGTTCTCCTGTATAGTTATGCCGATTGTACATACAAGAAATTCTGTAAAATAACCAAGAGATTGAACGAAATAAATAAACTTCTAGAACGTTAATTTAAATGGTAGGCTAGGATTTGCTACGAACGTTAGGAAAATGGGACAATTAAACAGCTCGGTACGAGTTCAGGTCGCGTATACCTGTTGCACGAGGGGCTCTGTCTATGGCGGCCAAGAAGACGCTACCGCGACGTCAGGCGGGTAAGATAACGGCCACGTGTATTGGCGTCTCCCGCCAGAACTTGGCGACCATACTCGGAGAATCTGGAACAAACGGAGTTGCTAAATTATACACTGATATCTTGCGTAACTGAGATGAAAGGTAAATTGTATCATGAACTCACAGGACGGACATTTAGCTATAAGGAGTTCAATCTCCTGGCCCTAGAAATGGAGTTGTGAGAATGCATTTGAATAACATATTTTCTGGCTGTAATTTCCTTATTTCATATAACGTGACTTATTTGTTTATTTAACGACACCGTTAATACGTTAGACTATTGGCGTTTGAGCGGTGAATGATGAGATTACTAGTGAATAATGCATTGTAAAATATGTGGAAGGAACCACAGTGGTCTAATTATAGGTACCATTTCGACGTTTCCTTCGAGGGAGTGAATAAAATCGCGAGAACCCCCCGTATTTTTTTATTGCTAGTGGGGTGAGTCTAAATCCCTTACACTGCGGCCACTTCTGGCTTATTGTACCAGCCCTAGATGATAGGTGAGGGTGATTGTGGAGCAATTGGTGGAATGAAGATTGGCAGGGGAAAACGAAGTACTCGGAGAAGACCTGCCCCAGCGCCACTTTGTCCACCACAAATCCAACTTGACCAGACCTGGGATCGAACCCGGGCCGCCGCGGTGAGAAACCAGTGACTAACCGCTTGAGCTATGGCGCGCCTTTGAATGCATAAAGGATATACGGCTCTAAAAGTCATTCTTACTCGGGAAGGCCAGAGAGCCGAATCCATGTTAATTAGAGAAAACATTGCAGATTATATGCGTAATTTATAGTTTAGGTTGCTTTATTTTTATTCTTTGCACTATGTCTTGTTGTCGAAAAAAGGATTAAGGTGGCCGTCTATGAAGAAATGTGTTAATGAAGTTAATGAATTAAATAAAATTATCCCCGATTATTTATCCCATTTTTCTTCATATGACACGAATATTATAATCACGTTACACAAAATCAAATTTATATGTGAAACCTCAGCCGGTCTTGATTTATGTTACAACATTTTTACTTGTTAATACTACATTCTAGGAGCAGGGATAGCTCAGTCGGTATAGCGACTGGCTACGGGCTTGGCGAGTTCGAGTTCGGAGTTCGAATCCTGGTAAGCTCAAGAATTTTCACTTCTCCATGTCTTCCAGACCGGCGCTGGAGTCCACGCAACCTCCTATCCATGGGTACCTCTTTCCCTCACCCGGCGGTAAAGTGGCCGGAGCGTGAAACTGACCACTCACTTCCAACTAGTTATACATCAACTATACATCCACTTCACCATACGCCTTCATGGCGTAGTTCTTAGTTAGCTAAGCACAAGGACAACTTTACGTTAATACTCTATTTTATGATATAACGTATCTTCATTGTGAAAACTGGATCCATTTCAATTTTCAATTCAATGATTATCTATTTTATTTACGAATCTTTACGATCGAATTATATAGTGGTAAAGAAAAACCAAAGCGAAATAAATATTAATGCTGCTATTTTTTTATTTAATTTTATTAAAGTTATAAAGACATCTCTGTAGATGGCTACTTTGTACCTCAGTTAATGATAACTTTTACGAGGGGTGATAATATTTATGTAAGCAGATTACAGGGCCATTACATTTTTTAAATTCAATTATAAATATTTCTTTTCTGCTCCTTCCTCTCTGTCTTTGTATTAAACACACAACAATAGAATTATTTGTCTTCTTCATCTTTGTTTCCTACCGTTTCCTGTACTTGCCTACTTCTCTCCATGTTCCGACTACTTCTAGTTCTTCTTTGTCATCATTTTCTCTTCCTTTACGATTAGTGGAAAGTTTAATTTTTTCTTCTCTGTTTTCCTCTTCTTCATCCTCTGCGTCCTGTTCTGGTTTCATTCCTTCAAGTTCTTCGTTCAGTTATCTCGCTGGTTGCATATTTTTTTAAAGTTCTTATTATGATGAGTGGAGTGGAAGATGTAAGCATCACAAAGCTTCTGCAATCATATTACTAGAACTAAACTGAACTCCGTGGCTTTTAGTTCGCAAGCGAACTATACCGACCGAGCGACCGCCGCTTATCAGCGAAGTTAGTGCCAACTTTTGGGGATAGAGGGTGTCGCGTGGTCAGCGAAACGGATTCCCACGGCCGCTAATCTCGTTTTCTAGACCAGGAATGTCTGTCTACTACTATGCAGAAAAGTTCGAAAAGTTGTATTCCAAAAGAGACTCGAATCCAAATTTCCAACACTCGAGCTAATGGCTATCGGTAGAAATGAGCCTAGTAATTTGAAAACAAAGCGTAAGGAATACTGGTGCATCTACTGAAGTTGATGGAACTGGGAGGAAGCAAGAAACTCGACGAATTTGTACCCGGAACAAATTGATTAATGATGGAGGCTTAACAGTAACCAAATCTCTCTTTGTTTTGCAAATATATCTCGTACCTTGACACTTTGCCAAATGTGGTGTGATATGATTTTTGCGAAGTACGTGTAAAACATTGCGAATCTTCGCATTAGAGACACTGCATTGTCATGGTGCAAAGTCTGATCTAAATTTGCACAAAATATCAAATGATGTGAGAAGTTTACTGATAAGGAACACGTCGAGTGGGATAAAACAACAACTACAGAATAGAATTGGTTATATCTCTGCAGGAATCTCAGAAGTAACGGTGCCCCCAGCAGGCAAGCTCTCTACTGAATGGACTCTCTGAACATAAGAAGAATATTTATCTCTGTGTGCATCCTTTCACTAAATAAGCTATCATTTTGCTAGACGTAGAGCTTCACCTTGCCTAAGAATCACTGTATGGAGAAGTACAGGGAGCCTGAAAGTTAAAGCACTCTCTATTTCCCGAGCAGATGGAACGGAAGTGGGGTACTCGGGTGGCGTGGTTGGTTTAGGCACTATTCTACAAGCCGGAAGGTCCCGGGTTCCAGTCCCGATGAGGTGGATTTGGTCAATTTACCTAATCCTTTCAGCCCTGAGGTATACTCGGCCTCTAACAGAAATGAGTCCCAGGAATCTTCCTGGGGGGTAAAAGGCAACCGGCGCGAAAGTCTGACAACCTTACAGCCATCTGTGAGCCGATTGTCTAGATAATGTGGGACCCTCAACTTCTCTCAACCCTATGGGCCTTCACGGCCTGTTACATGGTAGTTTTACCAAAGAATGAACGTAAGTGGCGAGCTTCACGCTTTGGTGTCTTTACCTCAGTAGGCCTACCGATAGCATAGGAAGTTCGGTGGGTAACAAGATTGAACGTGATGTGATGGCAATATTTATGTTGTTACTGGAATCGAACTTCGATCATCCTATCTCTAATCGGTTACTTTACTGAGATGTTCATATTTAATCTTGTTCACTTACCGATATTTTCTACGGCCGAGTTTGTAGGAGATCTGATGGTGATTAGCGAATTCGATAGGACGTGTAAGGAACTAGTAGCGTCATAATTTCATGTGCTATTGCACAGTTTCCTTCAAGGACTCGGTTAGTGACTCAGGTATTACAGAAATTCAGATAAGTGTTCTACTCGTAATTGTAAGGCGTCAGATGCACGCGTACATGAAAGATTTCCTGTAATTCTTCAGCAGTCTTAGATGGCGAAAAATTTATTTTCCTTTGCTGAAACCATTGGCTCATTACATTGTACAAAATTTCGGCCTATAAATCCCTTTGTTCCTATATTAATTTTAATATTATATTTCATCTTACATCTATGTCTATGTCTCCTACATGGTCTCTTTCCTCATTTCCCCATACGTACTTCTCATCCTATCGATAATGTCACCCTTGACCCAATAAATAATAATGCTTGAAGAGTAGACCGGAAAAGGTAAAAAGTGAAGCTATCTCTGTAGTAGACAGTGGAGGCCCATAGGTTTGTGAGACCTCGAGGCTTCCACATTTTCTCTAGAAAACCGGCCCACAGTGGAGGTGAATTTGTTAGCCTTATGCGCTGGTCGCTCTTTAGCCCCCAGGAAGATTCCTGGTATTCATTTCTTCTAGAGGCTGAATCGGCCTTAGGGACAAAATGCAGTTGAAAAGTTTGGGTCAGTTGAAAAATTCGGTGACCTCATTCGGAATCGAACCAGCGATCATCCGGCTTTTAGCATAGTGCCTCAATTAGCTACACCACCCCATGTCTCCTGAAGGGTAGACCGTAAAATTATGAAGTTTTATTTGCAACACCTTCGGATTATTGTTGCTTGCTCTCTCTGGAGCCCTAGTTCCAGTCTCCCCACAGTGCTTTCCCAAACGCCCTCAGTCTAGGTTTCAATGTTCTCCCCTTAGAATGAGAGATAAAGTTTCACATCCACATAAAACAACAGGCATAATTTTGGAATTTAGGATTTCAGCTTAATGCAGGAAGAAAGAAGATTCTTAATAAAGTAGTAGCGAGATTTCCCGAAATTAATCCATTTGTAATCTCAACATGAATATTATTTATATCTGCTACCTTCCACAATTTATTCTGTGAAGTACAGCTCGTAAAGAGTGAAACATTTCTGCCCTTTATGAGCAAACCTGGATATGTGTTATTCTGGCTCACATGTATTTGTAAACCTGTTACAGCCAGACAACTTAAAGCGACACTTTTACGAACCGACTTTAAAACGTTTTAACACCTAGTGGCTAAACCATTAATTTTTAAAAGCTGCGTGGAAATACTAGAAAATTCTTTCACCCACATACTAGTGAGATAGGTTAGTGTATTTAGGACTGATAAACGGGGTGAGATGAAACACACCGGGGGCGGTTGTGGTATGAGGAGGTGGCAGGGAGGGTGTGAAGTGGTGAACGGATGGCGTACACGTTGAACACAGGATACCAGGCTCGTCACATTAGGCTTACATACTCCACAGTTATCCAGGTAGAAACACGCTATAGGCTCATTCGTGTTTTGCTCTGTTGGTCAGAGGCAGTCCCTGATTCTCTAGCGGTTTCGGGCTCTATTTAATTTTAATTTATATTTGAACTGACGTGAGGGCGTCATGCCTGTATGGCGTGACAATTAATTTCATTGAAGAGAATGTAAAACTTACTTATTTAC